GTTTTTAGACATCATTGCATATATAAGTGAATCATAATAATTATTAAATTTATCGAATTTTTAATATGTTAATATTCTATCTTTAATCGTTTACAAATGAAACACTCATATTAGCAAACCGGAAAAATGTATTAAAAAATCACTGTTCTTCAATTCTGTAGTTTTCTGAAAAAAAAAAAAAATATTGACATCACAATCAAAACCAAAAAATACCAAATGGATTCACCTAACCAAAAAATAAGTTTCAGACATTATCATAAATGTCATGAAGTAAATCTGGAGCAACATGGGAAAAAACTTGATTATGATTTTGTACATATTAGGTATATATTCATGTTGGTGTTAAACCTCAAATTTATCAATTAGAAARTTAACCCAAAACTTTTTTTYTACTTAAGTTCATTCACATCAGTGCTTTTAATGGTCTTGTGAGAGTTAATCAATCAACCATAACTTTAAAAGTGAAGAGTTAAGTCGARTTTCTGTGTCATAATTTTTAGAATCTCGTCCGTAAATGAATTAGTTATGCAAAACAAAACAACTAGTATTAACAATAACTTTTATTWATTTAATTAACATTGTTTGGCACTAATTTTATATACATTTTTGAATTAAAAATAATAAACTGTCAAAATAATCAAATTATCAAAAACTGTATTTTTGGTCCATATTTTGACGTTATAKATTCATATTTTATGCTTAAATTCTGAATATTTGAATCGGCACATAATATTATTATAATCAAGTTTTTCTACTACATACAAATTATACTTAGTATTTATTCAACCGTCTTTTTATAACAGTTATATTTGTTTCGATATGCGTAGACATTTTTTTTTTTTTTTTAGGAGAAATGTAGTTTTAGGATACTAAACCTACGTTTAGAAAACTTAACATTCCTTTTATGTCTGTTTGTTAGTTATTACTAGTACATGATTACGATTATTTGTATTAGAATTATAATATAACAATGGATTTATTCAAAGTAGATTCATACCATCCAATATTTAAAATACCATGCCACGCTACTGGATATTTTTCGCCAACAAAGAAAATCTATAAATCATAAATATGTTTTTGTTATTAAGTAACCACGATAATGTAAACTTTATAAAAAATACAGTCCAAAAAATAATTCAGGCTAATATAAAATTCAAATACATAATATTCATTCATTGTGAGCAATATTAAAAAAAAATATACAGGTACCTGCCTTTTAAAATATACAGATAAATAAATAATTATTTTTTWATCTTATATATTATTATAGAATTATAGTTTATTATGTTTTATTTAAAAACTTTTAAAAACTAACTTTTTTAGGTATAAAACAATCATCATGTACTTGCTACTTTAGGTAAAAGTATAATATAATTAGGTACTATTRCGGCCATATAGATTTTTATTTTTTGTTTTCAACATCTATAACGATACTCGTCTTACAGCAAACGGTAACGTTTACGACGGACAATGGAAAAATGGTCTGAAACACGGCGAAGGTGTGTACATGTTTAAAGACAAAGGTCAATTGATGGATGGCGTTTGGATCGATGGAGAGCTGAAAATCAGCACCATCAAATATTTCGACCAACCGGACAGTACGCGAATACAATATATGATGCCCGAGGTATAAGCATATTATTGTACTGTAAAAAATCTGTGTTTATTAATTTATAATACATTTAATAATAACGGAGATTAATGAAGTATAATATTAAACTCTGTTAACAGATTTCCAAATCTGACGAGAAAAATATACTAAAAGCGTACGAGTATACAAAATCGGAAATACTCAAAAATCTGTGAAAAATATACAGATCATTGCGTTACAAAATTATAAATTTTATATGATATTATTATGTCATGAGTATAATTTATACGGTATGATAGAATAATACGCTATATATTGTGTACCGTGAGGGATGGGGTAACGTTGAAATAGTCTAGCTAAGCGTGAATGATTTTTATGTGTTTTCCATGATCCAACAATGCAGTCAAGAAATGTTATGTCGTATGGTTACTCCCTTTCATAAGRACAGTTTTACGAGTTCACACAAATAATAAGGATAATACATTAAGCACAGTAGATTTAAACTAGAAATCCCGAATTGGTATCCGAATATTTTGGTCCAACTCCTTTTGTTAAGCTTGATGAAGTATCCCAATGATTAAACATTATTCGAGGGTAAGAGTAAGTATGGTGTTATGATCAGGGTTTCGAACGATATGGTTATATACTAAGGAAATGAATACAACATATAATATGCAAATGCAAGACTTCCTTTGTAATTATTACTATACACTTATAATATACATAATTATCAATTTATTTAATCACATATACTCATTATTCAGAAAATTTAAACATTTTTGGAAAATATTATTTTAGATAATTTGACGAAAATAACAATGTTTTTGAAAACAAAATTATACCTTTTACAATTATTTTATCGTTATTAGTTTTAAGTTTTTAAATGTAGTATAGTTAATATATTTGTAGGAAAGTTTATTTATCTATAGTTTACTCGGTAAAATAATTTTTTAGTTTCCATGCAATGACATTTGTAATACATAATAAAATTTTAATTTTTTCATTTATGCAGCTGTCTTCCTAAGAAATATTCCTCTTTTAAGGATAATGTAGAGAACTGAATAATCCATCTTTTTGTTTTTTTGATCATTATTGTAAAATTTGTCAAACTATAATATAGTTTCATTATAGTAAGTTATTCTATTTTTAGTTTCAGTCCGTGGAAGTCATAATAATAATAATAAGTAATTTTGATGAGTAGAGTAGAGTAGTGAATTAACATTTCRARGAGTACCTACCCATCTGCTGTCAAAATGTAATAATCAAAAATAATAATTGGAATTATGAAATAAAAATAATATTGTTAAAAATGTTATTAATTATTCTAAAAATTTAAAATAAAAAAGTTATGTTGATAAAGATGATAAAAACATAATTTTTTTCAAATGTAAACAGTATGTAAAACTAAAAGATACAAAAAATTACATCTTGWTGAAATAACAATCCACACGGTATATCATACCATCTACCATTAATAATTTTATGTTTACAATATAATTTACTTGTTAAACTTTATACAACGTGATACGTAATTGTTTACTTTAAAATAAACTTTAATGATCATTATATCATGATTATAATAATTATAATAATAATGTTATATATAATATAGTAATTATAAGCTCATAGACTATTATCAATTATTAGTAACTAAAACAAATTTTAAATCATTATCATCTTATTTTGTATAATAAAACACTATTATAATACATTCATCTATAATATTATGCTTTGTTATACTCAGTGAATGCTCTCCACATAACTTTTATCTTAATAATTAGTCTTATTATGGGCCATTTACTCTATATCTCATAAGTATGATGTTTGCGTTATTGCATTTCAATGGAACTACAAATTAATATATTATGATTATTATGATTATAGTCACACGGCGTTTTGTATAGGCAATTCCGATACATACATGTCGTGGAAGGAGKAAACAATAATTTATTCATCCAGTAATACAACGTATAACTATGAAATTTTTTATCATGTAAAAAAGTCATTATACTTCTACAAAATAAACGTATAAGGTTAGGTTTTATACAATTATATATTTTATTCAAGTACTTAATTATTATTATTTATAATATACTTTTCAGTATAATATTATTCTCGCTTAGCATTGTTTTGAAATTGTAAAAATTTAAAAATTTAAAATACAATGTTTAACTTTATAAGATTAACTTTTATAATTCTATAAAAAATCTTCAACAACTAYACAATGAAATGGTAGATCGTTTTCATTCCTCGATGCATATTGTGTAATATTATAATATATATAATATTATTATATAATTTTTATAAAATTATCAACATTATTTTAAAGTCATCGTCCATCGTTTATATTATTCATCWAAATAACTTTGGTGTTCGAACCATAGCATTTTTCTCGAAATAAACATTGAACACATAATTGTTCAGTTTGTGTTTTACACTGTTAAAATATGGTTTTTTTTGTTTTCATTGTTCGAGGATGAACTAAAGGGTTGTATTATAACTCAATGGGCCACCGGGCGTTGTTGTGGTGTTATAAGGGAATACCGATTGTCAATTGGAATGTATAGTCGGAAATCCATTGATAAATTATAACGATATTATAGATGAATCAATATTTTTTTGTCAAAACTAATTCTAGGGTWTTAGCTATCCTCTTGAGCAGTTCAGTTYTTAGAAGAAGTAATATTAACGAAAATTATACCAATCCCTGCAGATTTTTCTTAATTACTGTTATTATATTTTTAATTAAGTTAAGTTTGTTTAAAATTGTTGATTTTAASTGGATTTTATCATTTATTTTTATTTTACAATATTATGTTGATTTTTTATWTGTTTTACGTTCTGATCGGAATGATKATCTCTTAATTTTACAATAAAGCAATGATTATAATTTTTATTTTTGTATCTGTCATCATATTTTGGGTAGTAAAAATGCTTTGATATYCAACATAGTGGGGATATTTATCATAAAATTGGATCTAGTTGGTTATTTGAGCTCTTACGTTTACTTTAAATGTAAAAAAATTAGTACCATCAATGAAATATGATACATGATTTCGCCAGTACATAGTCGTATCGATGAGATTTATACAATATTATAATATCACAAAAAAGGTATAACCAATGTAATTGATAATCGTCTGATGAAGGATCATTTACTAATTAACTAAATATTATGATGTAGATACCTTATAACTGAGCTCCAGTATACGATAGCGACGATGAAGAATACAATTATATAGATACTACGCCATCACTAGAATAGATCAGCCATCGAGCAATACTTAAAACGAAACGGATGATTATTATTATATTAATATCACCGGAAGCATTCATCGCCAGACTTATCTCGC